CATGCAACNTTTTAAAAGGCAGCTTAAAACCTCTCTTTACCAAAGCATTTTACTGATTTTACACTATTATACTGCACTATTCTCTGTGATTGACATTGCACTATTTCTCTATGTTTTATTCCCCATGTTTTTATTTTTAATTATTTTATCCCACTTTATGCTTTGCTCTTGCTGCTTGTTTTACACTGATTTTATGTCTTATTCCTTACTGATGTAAAGCACTTTGAACTGCAATCCACTGTATGAAAGGTGCTATACAATAAAGTTATTATTATTATTGTTATTATTATCCATTGAAAATGTCTCTTGAGTGAAACATTATTTGCTAAATGTTCAAATAGTCAGAATTCTTAAAAACAGATTAATATTGATGATGCATTAATGTGAAACGGCCTTTTTACAGTTGTTGTTGTTGTTGTTGTTGTTGTTGTTGTAGTTGTTGTTGTTGTTGTTGTTGTTGTTCATGGGTATAGCTTATATGAACTATTCTATACTATTGTTGGGTAGTGTCATCCATAATATCACATTTTATTTTTCAATCTCATCTATGTTTTGCATACGTAAAGATGCATACAGGATAAAGGATGTCTAATGAAGTACAGAAGTGAAGTACTTCCTTAGACAGTACTTAGTTACTTTTCACCACAGCTTGTCATTCTATGTTACTGTAATAACAAAACGTTGAGGCAGATCTGCAGGTATCTGTTGGACCGTGTCCAAGAAAGCAATGTGAAAAGGACCATATTCTGATGAAAGTGTTTTTCACTGGGAGTAGTCTGCCTGTTAATTATGGGAGTTTTCGGCCCATGGAAAGACTTGCAAGCAATTAGCCAAGCTGGTGACAAGCTGTTCCTGTGGCCTCGGCCGTGATGCTGCTACACCCTGTCCTTCCAAGCTAAGCAATTAGAGGCGTTAGGAGCACTTAAAAGTTAGAGTTTGTCACATAGGAATCATTTAGTGATGCAGCAAAATGTTTGGCAGAACAGAGCAATGATGGAGAGCCAGGAAGAGATGCAAATAATAATACTTTTAGGGAGTGGAGTTATAACTTTCCAATGAAACAAAAGTCATGTTTGGTCAAAGAGCAGCTGCTATACTGTAGATACTCTTACTTAATATATAAGTATGTTGACCAACTTACTTACTACAGAGCAGTTCATATATATATATATATATGTAGCGGCCAAAATCATATAGAACTAAAGCAGATAATTAACTTAAAATAATACAGCCGCTGAGGCACTAGGATCTTACGCAGGGCAATGATCCAGGTCCAGACAAGATTCTCCGTTGTGCATTTTATTCCTATAACAAAATACAATGAACAGGTTTCCTATATCTCTTTACTTGAGCCTTTCCCTTGTGTGGCTTGAAACACCCTGGTAAAAAAAAAATATATTATGGGTGATTATAAAGCTTTCTGTGTGTGTATTTGTTCTCAAACTATTGTTCTGAGTGAGGCCAAACTTATATTCATACAGTTTTCTCTATGGAAGGCAGGTTGACACAAGTGAGCAATGTGTCATAAATGATAGAATGAAAGTAGAAATTATCAGCTTCAGAGGGACATCCACACCTCCACAAGCAAGTGTTCACAAACACAACACATAACATGTGCTTTATGTCCAACAGTCTCAAACAAGAGACAGATTTGAGGTTGTCTGAACATGTTTGTTGCCTTTATACCATGACGATTTGCAGTAAAAACAGATGTTGGTCGTGTGTTCTATATACAGAGCCACTGCTGCCGTCACTGACATAATCCCTGTTCCCTAAATCTACCTTTGACTATCACAACCTTGACCTAATTTGAGCCTTAATCCAAAAGGCAAATCCTCGCCCTCATACAACCCACTAAAAAAGATCCTCTCTTGCCAAATGTTCTTACTTTTTGGCACGTACTGATGGCCCAGGGGTTACAGTAAGAACGAAATGTTCCCTCTTAGCTTCCTGCTGGGATCATTTGTTGCACTTCATTCTTGGTCTTTTCCCCTCTGATACCTGTCAGATACCTGTCTCTCTCTACTGTTGCTTTCTAGTAAAGGCTTAAAATTCCTCAATAATTGGTATGTTTAGTTGTGTTATATTATATGGATCAGTCCTTTAAAATTATAGTTTCAATATTTGCTTCTTGAGAAAAAATATTTTAAATCAAAAAGCAATTGAGTCCAAAGAGTTGGGTCAAAGATGACAACTATTTGAGTAAAATATTTGGTCATTTGCTCAACATGCAACCCTCCCAAAAAACTGATCGTAAAAAATCAGTTCATTTAAGAAATTATTACAAAACTCTGGGACGTACAAAATGAAGTGTCACCGAAACACACCCATTAACACACTAATGGCACATTTCCACTGCAGCGGGGTAGCCCCGTTTAAGCGTCCCTAAGCGTCCTCGCTCAGGCCTCGGGCTGCCTCGCTGGCTGTCCGAGGCCGTGGCGCATTTCCATTACAGTTTAGGACCTGGGGTAGCAACGCAGTGTAGGCGGGGCGATCGGCTTTTTTTTGGCCAATGAGATGTAGGAACGTCGTCACCTCCCCGGTCGACCACGGTATGCTTTTCTTTGACGTTGCCATTTTTGTAGCTCCTCCGTTTACAAAAATGCTGTGTATAAAAATGCTGCATGCTTGCTTCTAGATATATATGCGACGCTAGGTATGATCTCGCGCGCGATCTTGTGACGATTCTCTCTGACCGATCAGCAGTCGAGAGTGTTGACGTCACTAGTTCAGCGCTGGCCCTGGCCTGATAGAACCACGATTTTATGGGGCCGGAAAAAGAGGGAAAAAGTACCCGCTAGCCGGTGCTGCGCTATATGGAAAGGCCACCAAAAACTGGCATGGCCGCTTGAGGACGATTAAGGACGCTTAAACGGGTCTACCCGCTGCAATGCGCCATAAGTACATATTTGAGGTACTATTACTCTACCTCATACTTCTACTCTTTTATCATTTGGAATCATATATTGTACTCTTGACAACCTTAGTTCTAAATACTTCATATCAAATCATATTGCTAAGCCAAATATAACTTATAAATCCGGATGTACTTGAATGCATCATTGAGTTATCTCCATCTTTCCCAGCGGCAAAATGAAAATGATCAACACATGAANTACAATTGTGTATCATCCGCATAGCTGTGGAAATCTATACCATACACTCTGATGATGTCGCCGAGCGGTAACATATAGAGAGAAAAGAGTAATGGACCTAAACAGCTCCCTTGTGCAACCCCGTAGTGGCTTTCATGTTTCTCTGATGTATGGCCTCCTAGACTAATATAGAACATCCTTCCTCTGATATATGTTTTGATCCAGTTCAACACGCAACCAGAGAAACCAATAAGCTTTTCAAGTCGATTTATTAGGATGTTGAGATCAATAGTATCAAAAGCTGCACTGAGATCTAATAGGATAATGATGGAGATTTTATTTGCATCAGAGTTGAGTCTGAGGTCACTAATTACCTTTGTGAGAGCAGTTTCCGTACTGTGGTATCTTCTGAAACCTGACTGAAATACTTCTAAGATGTTGTTTTCTTTAAAATAGGAATTTATTTGGACTGAGACAATTCTTTCCAATATTTTACTGATAAATGGTAGATTTGATATTGGTCTGTGGTTTGCTACTGTGTTGTTATCCAATTTAGGGTTCTTTAATAGAGGCTTTACAAAAGCTGTTTTAAGGCATCAGGGAAGACGCCAGTTTTAAGAGATGTGTTTATAATGTCCAGGGCTGGACTGGAGATGCTATCAAACACTCGCTTAAAGAATTTTGTGGGGATAGGATCAATGTCTGAGGTTGTGGAGTTTGCTTCTGAGACAGTTTTACACAGTTCGCTTAGTGTGATGCATGTAAAGTTACTCATGGTTACATTACATACTCTACTGAGATCGGTTTCATCTCCACCTCCACTAGTATTGATACTAGCTCTGATTGAAGTTATTTTGTTCTCAAAAAACAGAGCAAATTCCTCACATTTAGCTGTTGAGGAGGATGTCAAAAATTGGTATTTTATATTGCAGTAGTGATGACTTTACTCGGGTAAAGAATTTCAATAGTTCCTCCTCTACCAATGACAAGTGTGTGTGCAAACTGTTCAAAAGTATAAAATACAAAAATTGCAATGCATTACATTGTTTTGTATCACAGTCAATTGGAAAATAAATTCAAAGCTTGTTTCTAAAAATGATGTCATTCTGAGTTCAATCACACTCACGTGAAGTGTGATTGATAAAGGCAAAGGCAGCAATAAAAAAGAAATAGATGACCTTTGAGCCAAAGCACCTTTAATTTCCTACATATTGTGGACTTTGGATTGGACTATGATTTGTGGCACAAATAAGGTGCATGATGGAAAAGTTAATTACTGTCCCTTGACATTTACATGTTGGATGTAAACCAGTGACTCTCACCAGTGACAGGAACAAACTCACACAGTTCTGCTGCAGAGGGTAGCACAAGTTGTTAAGAAATGTAGGAAAGGTCCCTGTGTCATGTGTATGATAATTAGCACTCTCTATTGTCTCTCTAAAATACTGTTTTGCTCGCCAAGTCAGTTTCCACAAAACAAAAAAACAGTAATCTTGGTTTATGAACAACAGTTATTATCCTGGAAACTTAGAGGTTGGGAGGTTGGATTAGAGAGCCAAGTGGTAAGATGCTTCACAGTGTGTGTGTGTGTGTGTGTGTGTGTGTGTGTGTGTGTGTGTGTGTGTGTGTGTGTGTGTGTGTGTGTGTGTGTGTGTGTGTGTGTGTGTGTGTGTGTGTTTGGATGAAGGGCCAGCAAGAGAAAAAAAGACAGAGAATGACTGGTTGATCATTATTTTGGATTTATGGTCAAAATAAACAAAACTGCAGATAATAAAAAGAAATGAGATGGGCCTGACGAGGAGAGAAACAGCAGAGGAATGAGAATAGCCATTAAAAAAACAGTCGTGAAAAAAGGAGGGACAAGAGGAAGTGGAAGAATACAAAACAACGGGTTTAGTGACTTACTGTTGTCGCCAGGGCAACCGTAACTGTCTGGGTCTGACTCATTGTGGTAGTACAGGTCCATCGCCTGGGGGAGGAATATGGCACGACTTAGTAAAAAATAATTGAATACTTTTATGTGAAAAACATTCATATAAAAGCACATGAATAAACACACACTACATTGTCAGACTTTGGATTCAGTTGCATGCATCAAATAATTCTCTAAAAGTCTAACTAATGTCTTAATAACTGACCTGGCGTATTAGGCAACAACCGGCTAGTGTTCTGTACAACCCTGCAAATCCAGTTTTGGAAATGTTCTTGTTTGATTCACTTGAATAACAATAATGACTTGTTAAGTTGTGTAAACAGTACAGCCCTTTGGCTCAAATGTTCTTTCAAGTCACCATTTGATAATAACATTTTTTTTTAAAAGGCTGCCCAACGTACAATCTAGGTCAGAAGCTTCCAACATGGGAGCTGAGATATGCAAATGTGGATATTAGCAGGACAGGAGAGCAGAAACCTTTATCAACATTTTCATAAGGAACACAAATTAATCTGAGAGTTTTTATGTAACACAAGGAGGGATGGGGAATCCATTTTTTGTTGAACTGGTCCCAAGTGGTTAGGGTTAGGGTTAGCCAAAGAATTTTGGAAACCACTGATAGTTTATCAACAATAAGAGATGTGAGGTTTTTGAACATCAGTAAACTGAAACCATTGGTTCTGAGCCAGACTTGTTTGTGCTCCAGCTTAGGTTGGTTTCCCACATGTTTTAATGAGGTTAGGTTTCCTGGGTGAGACTGCATTAAATCACTTGAGTCCTGTGTTGAAAGAAGGAAAAAACATCCGCTCTAACAACATGATGACAACAACATGAGTGTATTATTGTGCTTTAGCAAGACTGAATGCCAGCATGAAAAGAAGATGAATTGCTTTTAGAACTTGTATAGCTAAGCTATAGGTTTCCTGTGCAGCATATCTTTGACATGATGATCCTTTAAAGAAGTCTAAGTAACCACACATTCATAGAAAAAAAACCCACTCCATTACATCAGTAAAAGTTCAAATCTAAAAAAAGTTAAGCCTAATTGCTAATCCTGCAAACAAATTTGACTGATACATTATTATGGTTTACCCCAATAAATTCAATGAATGGGACGTTTGTCTTATATTTGCTTTTATTAGTAAATATTGGATTTTGATCCCAAACCATTATAAAAAGGGAACCATCTGAGAGGTGAACTGGGGAAATGCTCTCTGTGTGCCCAAACAGGCCATTGCATTTTTGTAAGATGCCACAAACCATAAATGTGGGAACCTTCTGTTTATTATTCAACCAAGTATTTCATTAAAAAAGCTTTTAATAAGTTGTGTTATGCATTTTTAAAATATTAAAAATAACTCCCAACTCAAGAAACCAAATAAATATTGAGGAGTTTAGTGCAACATTTCTTTCAGATGTGAGAGGCAGAATAATAAGATTCCCTAAAATGGAATCACTCGTGTAAAGTACAAGTGCCTCAAAATGTTACTTAAGGCAGCTTGAGAAGATGTATTTTTTCAACCACTGCACGTTGAGTGGTGAATGTTGACCTCTGACCTGGTTCATTTGATTATAAAAGTCAATATATTGCTTTATACGTGGCAGGTTGAATGGATCAGAAATGTGCAAGTAAACACTTATGAACATGTACAAAGGTCTCAACAACAACGCCTAAAGCCTTTCCCACTTTTTCTCTTCTCACACACATTACACAACAGTATTATTGCCAGCCGTCACGCGACCTGCAGCGTTTGCATCTCAGGACTTGCTCACGAAGCTGCACTGTCATGTCAGATATCCTTTTTTTTATGATGTTGCAGTCAACCATTGGGCTATTGAAAGTGTCTTTGTTAAAAACAGTCTTAGCCTAGTTTTCTCTTTGACGTTGCAGCTCTGAAAACATATCGCAGCTCTTAGTATACTCCCATGGGTGTTTCCCGATGAGGCAAGCTAAGGCATGTTTGCGTGTGAGAGAGTTGTTTCAATGTCATCACTTTGTTTACTCAACAATCTGCCTGTCATTTCATATCCATATACGTATTAATATACCCTCACAGTGGTCTTGTCTATCCATCTCTTCCTCATTCATATTTAAACCCATATTGCTTGCTTTTATCCCCTCACAATGTCAACATCTCTCTGCAGTCAACAATCACTTTGCGGTTTGTGCCCCCTTCTCCTTGAATTTACCTCTTGTGCCCTTCACTCTGTATGGATTCAGAAGAGATCTAACTGAGTGGTATCCATAGAGATGGTGAATCTAGGCTCTCAGTTCATTAATATTTCAACGGTTCTATGTTTCCAAAAGAAGACAGAAAGTGTGGGTTGTTCAAGCAGAGGCAAAAAGAGAGACAGGGAGGAATAGTTCTTGACAGTCAAGGAGAGGTAGAGGTTTGCACGGCTTTACTTTGAGTGATAAGATAAATCACTTTTAACACCAGAATAGCTGGGAATTCTTTTTGATTTGCCTATCAAATATCAGAAATCCAATGTTAAATTCAAAGTTTCTAGAGATCAAAAGGAAACAGATCTCAATTAAAATAGAAAGTAGGCCCCCGTTTTTATTCATTACAATGTTAACATTTTAACTTTACTATATATATACTTTACTTATAGTTTCCCATAATAACAACAAACATGTGCTCGTGCTTTATATAGTTACCTAATCTGATTATCAATGATTTCTTACGTTATCACATAATCTTCCGGTTTGTGGCAGTCGTGTGTTGCAGGAGAGTAGGAAAAAGTACAGGGTAACTTGGCAAGACGAAGTGACCTATACGTAAGTGACATATTAGATATTACCTGGACGTAACCACCTTTAAAAACAGTGTAAAGACTCTCATTGTACATTGTCACCCTCTTGTATTATCTTAACAAAGATTGGGGATTTACTAGAAATCCTGTCATGGATACCTGGAAGTTCCCTTCTTTGTGATGCAGTGATTACTGAAATAAATTAGTGTTTGTTACTTGTAATTTAATTATCTATAGGCAGAATGAACTTGCCTGTGTGCGTTGCCGTGGCTTCCAGGTGTCCTCCAGGGTGTAGCTGATGTAGGGCCCGCTGCAGACGGAGCACTCCAGCATGATGGGGCTGGCCATGAGGGGCGATGCGTGGATCCCCCAGGACTGACAACCACCATGGTGGACATCGCACTCTGCTTCCTTCTGTTTTCCTGTGCCCTCACTGTGATGCCGAGCCAGCATCTTCCACTTCCTGACCTATAAGTGAAGATAGGTAAAAGTGTTTTTGCAGTTGCCCAAAAAAATGTAAAACCATATACATCATGAGGAATCAATTATTATAACAGCCTATAATAAAGGGGGCTACTTCTGACTAAAACCCAACATAGCATGCTATTATTGTTTAGGTGGTTTATTAAATTTATTTAACTAACACAGCTAGAGTCAACACCTTCACACTATAAATATCTGAGGGTTGCATTGAGTAAGTTATTCTGAGTTTTAACAGTAATCTCCTCTTGTGTGACAGCTGCAGTGACACACTCTTCTGAGTAGCCTATTCATCACAAACACTTCTTCTCAGTCATGGGACAGGCAACACTGACTGAGTACTCATCATGGGCATAAACCCTGACAATGCCCTTCAAACACACATATTCACAGGAAAGATCAGGTGCGTGAGAGAAATATAAAATGCATGGGACATTGGAAGGTCAAGGTGCACATAGTTCTTGGGGAAACAGAATTGCATAGTTAGAAGTGTCATTGACCCAGAATGGCTGTTATGTATGTTTAATGGTGTCCTTGGCTCACAGAGTGTACAGGTTCATCGGCTGTGGCCGTTTAAAATGAGTCTTATCAAGGCCTCTATCAGTGGCTCCTGCTCTGCTGGCCTCTATTTTACAACAACTTGGGATAGAGAAATATGTGTGAGGGTGATTGTGCATGTGGATGTGTGTATATTATAGTTAAAAACCTTTAACTCTGCAAAATAACAGCAAGCAAACTGCCCGTGTACGAATGGTTGCTTCCTTGACAACAATTGTAGCTCAGTGCTGAAGGACAGAATAGAACTAAACAATTACTGATGGTGTCAAACACTATTTAAAACTGTTCTGTCATAACTCTGTATTTGTGTGTGTGTGTGTGTGTGTGTGTGTGTGTGTGTGTGTGTGTGTGTGTGTGTGTGTGTGTGTGTGTGTGTGTGTGTGTGTGTGTGTGTGTGTGTGTGTGAGCAAGATATACTTGTATTTGTGTGTTCAGTATCATTTTGCCAGGTTGAGAAAATCGTATTGAGTCACAACAATTACGGTACGTCCACACGGCTCTACCGCGTTGAAGCTTGCCGGTAGGCGTGTCTGGTGCGCGACCATCAACCAATCACATTAATCTCTCGCCCCGGAGACACAAGCACGTGGTTTGATTGGCTAGCGCTTGTACTGGCATATGATTTGATTGGCTAGCACTTCCGTCAACGCTTGAAAAGTTGAACTTTTCTCAACTTTCGAAGCGAGCAACGGAGGTAAAGCGACTCGACGGAACCAAAATGCAGTTCGGAAAAGCTTGTCGTCACCCGATTCAAAGTGAATGGGAATCGCCTCCGTTGAAGCACGCGACGGAGCCGTCTGGACGTATACTGTTAGACCAACTATTACATTCTAAATGCAGAAGTTTAATTTAGTTTGGAAAAGTTGTTGTTTACTCAAAAGATACCACTTCAGCAAATGGTTGGTTAGCTCAGCCTAGCTTGTCTTGGCTTAGCTTGTCTTGGCTTAGTTTAGCCTAGTTTAGCTTAGCACAAACAGGAAACAGGAAGAAATAGCTAGCCAGGCTCTTATAGGTTAACAAATTCAGCCTACCAACACTAAACTAATTTATTTAAATGTCTTATCTTGTTCTTTATTTAATTTGTATACATTTTATACAATTTAAACATTTTCTTGGCTCCTAGCAGTTACCTTCAACCACAAGAGACTCATTTTTGTGTGCATTGAATTAACAAGATATAACGTGTTATTAGTTAGTAACCTACAGTATGCATTATATTATTTTTACCTTCAGCAAGAAACAGTCATATGTTGGATTTTGTTTCCAAACATTTTTCATTATTTTTTCATTTATGTGGCAGTATTTTTTAGATCTTGCTTTCTAATTTATATCTGAATAATGAGGTAAGGAATTACCTCAAATATCGCCTTTTTGTATGCAAATATTAAATACATGGGTATAAGATTTTTATTTTTCAAATAAAAGTTTTAAATGTCTGGAATGCAGATATTTCTTTGTGGGTCATAAACATTGTATCCCTGGGCAACATTTTATCAGAGTTATGTACAGACTAATACACTGCTCTTTATTAGGCTAAGCTGAAACTGTTTATAATGCAGATTATCTTAAATGTATAGCCTCTTAGTGAACCTTGTTCCAGAGAAAGTATACTTGCATTCCTTCAGTGGGTAAGAACATATGTGCACTGGAAGTATAACACACACACAGTTATGCATGCCATCTCCAGATTCCCCTTCCTCTTAACCCCGTTGCCTGCCCTTTGACCTGGGTTTGTGCTGCAACCATTTAAATGGTCCTACTATTAGTAAGGTTGCATATGCCTGTCCTAGAGATCTGTCCTTTAACCTCGTAAAATCATGATGTAATAAGGTCCAGGGATACCAAGGCCAACATGTACACATCTGTGACAAAGTCCATAAATAAAAAAATAAAAACATGATGTCATCAGTCATTAAGTGTTCTTTCCCGGTGTTCAAATGTTTTTGTTAAACAACAATGTATGTAACCCTTAAGATTTGCCTCATAGATTTAGACGTAAAATGAAATAGATAAGGACAGTGTTTATAGTAGTTTTATTAGCCAGCCTATGGCCCTATTTCTTGGTAACCCCATTTTTGCCTTGTCCTCCTCTCCCTTTCTGTCCTCTACCAGCTCCCCTTGGTGTGTTACTCTACCTCTAACAAGCTGTGTGACATCCCATATATGTCTGAGCATCAAAGAGTAATGAAATGAGGGAAAGGCGAGAAAGCGTTGGTGTGGAGAATCGAAAAGTAGATTAAGGGAATATGGTAGAGAGACAAAGAAAAATATGTTTGAAAGACAAAAAGATGAACAAAGAAAATGAGAGTGTGAGATAGTCTCTTACATAAACTGTCCCATTCCCTGTCACAGATCAGACTTGCCACCAAGGTCACTGCTCTTTCTTCTCCCCTTGTCTTCTGTTCCTATCACAAACACACTTTTTTTAAATACTGAGGGAGTGGGGTAGTCATACCCAAACGAGTACAGAGAGAAAGATGTTTCATGCAGTCCAAATTACATTTAAATGCAGCTACAGCATGTCCTGTGGGAGATTAAGTCTCACAAATACTGTTCAGAGCCAGAGAGAGAGAGAGAGGACCTGAAATAAGAGAGTGAGTATCTGAGTAACAAGACAGCAGGATGCAGAGAACTGTAATGTTATTGTTAGGAACGGGAACGCACCAAGGGATAAGTCTGGGATTTCAATATTGAGACTTTGAACTTAAGCTGCTTTGGGGCCATGTTATCATTATCTGCGGTCATATTTAGACTCTTTTCAGCATTACATCCTGAGCAATGCTGATGTCTCTGAACCCAGGACTTACTGGCAAGCTTTACTATTCATAGTCATTCAGTATGCCTAAATCCCTGATGCTAAATGTGTCTTTTTGTCTCAAGTCTCTACTCCTGTCTTACTGAGATAGTTACATATTTCCCATCGCATGAGCACAGTTTAACTAAATTGGCCAAATGGGAAAACCATGGAATACTAAATTCAAAACACTAATTTGATGTGATTTAAGGTAACTACCTAATTTGACTAAAGCGACTGGATGCCAACTTCCTCTTGAATAGTACTATTGGATAATCATTTAACATACACATTCACTATGAGTAGCTTAAGCACAGCAATGCTTTGAGCTAAATGTTAGCGCATAGCAGGCAAGCTATAGGCTAACATGCTATATTTGCTATGTTCAACATCTTAACTTAGTGTTCAGGCCTTACCATGATAACATTATCACATTTGCTAAAGTTTAACTGAAGATTTTAAGTGCCAGTTGAAAGTGAGTAGGATTCATCTTCTGAGGAACATGAATGTCCGTACAAAATGCCAAAGCAATTCATTACATGTTAGATGCTTTTATCGAAAGCGACTTACATACTCAATACTGTGGGCAATCCCCACAGGAGGAATTAAGTGTCTTGCCCAGGGACACAACGACATGCTGACTACAGTGGGGTTTGAACCTCCGACCTCTGATCCGAACACCTACGGAGAACCCACTACGCCACTAGCCTCCGTGTTCAATTCAATAGTAGCTGAGATATTTCTGTCCGGAGTGGTGGAGCAACAAAACAACACAAGGTCCCAAAGCATGTGTCTATACTTCTGCGATTGCTTATTAGTGCTAACTATACAACAAATTGGATTTTGTTCATGGATCTTAAAGATTTAGAACCACAAAACCTAAACAAAGTCTCATGGTCAACCTGAACTGGAAATGGAAAAATAGTCAAATCAGTCTGATCCCTTTACTGCTCACAACAATAAAGAATGAAGTAACAGAGCACAACAACAGTTGCTTGTTGTGCTCTAGTGTGTCATGAGTGAGCATATTGCCAATCCTGAAGCAGATCAGGTCAACTCAAAGCTTAGTTGTCAAGTGTGAGCCATAAGCCCCTATAAACCTCATCGCACTAAGCAGTTTCAATAGAGCTGAGTGTGTGGATGCAAGAAAAAAAAGTCTCACTGCTTTGTCAAGGTGCTGCTGAGCCTCTGTGGAGCAGCATTTTCTTGATTTAGCTCTGGAACATCAAGATGCAAAATGGGATTATCCGGGTTCCCAGGGTAGATTAGAACAAGAATAATGTCTAAATTCCCTCACAATGAGATTCAGAAAAAAGGAAGCTACCTATTTTTTTTTGTTGGGCAATGTCAGTGTAGGGGGAAGGGACAATATTTTCCGTTCTTACGAGTCTTGTGATCATTAAGGTAACTGATTATACATTACATATATCCTGCAACATAGTACAGTTGAAATCAGCTAATATGTCCAACCACCAGTCATTTTGTTTGTCCATTAAATCCCTTTATGCAAAAGTCTGAAACCCTTAAAGAATTGTTGAATATAAAGTAACTTCCTCACAACTACTTCCCTTGCATTTCACTACAGAAAGATGGAGTCATGCAGATGTAGATATCACTTACATTACATGTACCGAAT